CTGTTCCGGTATTCTGGACTTGGCCATTGCCAGTTCCTTGAGCAAGAGCCTGACCAGCGGCAAATGCAGCGGCGGGGCTACCTGCTGGCGCACCAGGCTGAGTGGGGCCAGTCCCCTGGACACCACCAGCAACGCCAGTCTGGTCGCAGACAGTGGGACGAACTGCCTGCGAGGTAGATCCAGTAGAGGCCATGTAGGCATCAATGTTGGGGAGGACGTTAACGCAGCGGTTCTGGTTGATCAAGTCGATGTTACCAGCGGCAGCCATTCCCTGAACAGACATCTGCTGAAGCTTGTCGACGACATCCTGGAAGGAACCGCCAGTGGCGAGGGTGCTGTTGGCAGCAATGACATTGGGGTCCGCGCCGTTAGCAGCGTCAATGATGGCCTTGTGGTTGAGCTCATCGACCTCGGCGTTGAAGGCTACGGTAGCAGCCTGCTTGAACTGAACGTTGTTCTGGATGCTAGCTCCAGTGTTGAGGAAGTTAGAAACCATCGAGGTATCGGCCATCCAATTGGAGACCGCAGTAGCGAGGTCGTTCGCAGTGGGAGTTTGTCCATTTTGGATACCAGCGCCAAGTCCAGTCGGGGCATTGGTGGTGCCTTGCTGTTGCTGGTTTCCGGTCTGCGCTCCTTGTTGCTGTTGTTGCTGATTGCCGCCCTGGTTCGTAGTCTGTTGACCAGTCGTGGCGGCAGCAGTATTGCCGTTACCACCGTTGCCGCCCTGCACCTGGGCGAATGGGGCAGCGTAAGCTGCAGAGCTAAGGAGCGAGGCAATGAAAATGTACTTCATTTTGTCTGTGAGAACGGATCTGTCGAGTGGACTAAGATTATGAGTAGAGATATCAAAGAGTGAATGGAATGCTGAGGTTGTAGAGTGGAAAATATTAGTCTGTAGTGAGTGAGGAACCAGTCCGATGAAGACTATCAGGATGATGGGAGCTGTGGTATTTGTATCGCCTCTGTTACAACTTCGGAAAGCCTTGCCGTCAAGGCATGATGGTGGGCAGGCCTATGCATCGTAACAGTCTGGGGATCAAGCCCTAGGGCTCGCAGCCCTTGGCGTCAAGTCAGGTAGCACACGCTTAGCTCAATGGCGTAGTTTCGAAGTATGCCATATTTTGAATCAGGCGCTTCCAAATGGCCTTCCAAATTGCCGAGACCCTCAAAGCGAGCGATGCCGAAGTTCAGCCCTAAACTCAAACAGGACGTTTCGCAAGGTACGCCATGTCGTGCATGTAAGTTGGATTAGTTAATGATGTTTTGCAAGCCGATGTCATTGTTTTGACAGCGTCTGGGAACAGGTTTCGTCGGTCTTGGCGCCCGAAGCTTGCAGGCGATCATCAGATCTTGTGTTGAACCTTAGTCCAAACGCCCCACAATTGTTCCAGATCGACACAGGCAGGCTTCAGGTCGCCCAATTCCTGTTGCGTGCTCATACGACTTGATCGCGCTGTGTATCTGTGGATTTGATCCTTGAGTACGCACAATGATGCTTCATTAGACTGTAGAGATGTGTAAGCAAAAAGATTTACGATATTGCTTGTTGCAAACAATCTGTCAAGATAAACAAGTTTCGCGTCGAATCTGTTCATAATCGTATCCGTATTGCAAATATCTAAGATCTTAGAGGATCTTCAGAGGCGTGCAATCATTCATCGCCCCGTTTGGAAAATGCTGAGGGAAGCTGGAAGCGGCAAGAAGCGCTAGAGTCCACTAAAGCACGGCATAACAAGGTCTGGTGTATCAGTTGCAGGAGCAGCAGAGATTTGTAGGGAGGTTTATGCGACTGTAGCCTTCTCTTCTTACATTGCCATTCCAAATGCAGTTCGGAGTCCGAGAGAACTCGTGATGCTCGATTTGAGAGTTGTGAAACTGCCGCTCGTAACGAGGGGAAGCCCATTGCGAGGGTGACTGATATACAAGTCAGTGCTGCAGGTCGTTCTGCCTGCCAGCATGGCGACTATTGCTTTCAGAGTCCATTTCGGTCTCGATCTTGCGGATGATGCGAGCGGGATTGCCAGCGACGACTGTAAACTCTGGGACGCTCTTCGTAACGACGCTTCCTGCGCCTACGACGCTACCTCTACCAATCATAACACCAGGCAGTATGCAAACATTGCCACCGATCCAGCAGTCTTCGCCAACGTGGATCTCCTTGCCCAACTCAGGCCCGCTAAGGCCGTTCCGGATGGCTGGGTCGAGAGGATGAGTAGCTGAGTAGAAGTTGACGTTCGGACCGACGAGTGTGCGTGCGCCAATAGTAGTAAGACAGGTGTCGAGGAAGACGGCGTGGAAGTTGACAAAGACATGTTTGCCCAAACGCACATTATATCCATAGTCCATAGTAACCGGTGGGTTAATCCATGGTTCAGCCTCGAACAGCTTGGCGTCTTCTTCTGTTGTAGGTGCTGGTGGTGGAAGAGGGGTTTCGTCTTGGATGATGCTAGGCAAAGTATAAGGACGTCTCTCGACAAGCAATCGAGCAGCCACACATACTCTCGAAACAGTTGGACTAGCCTGCGACGCGGTACATCACCGGCATCGTTGAAGCGTCTGCAAGCTTGCCTGCATCGTGCGCGCTCTGCTGTCAGCTCAGGCGTCATGGCATGGTAGAGCTCGCCGCAGAGCATACGCTGCTTGTTCTGCGAGATGTCCATGGCTGGCATGCAGGAAGCTGGCTGCCCGGCGCATGCTACCGAGGCCGGTGTGACGGTTGTGAAGGAGCACAGGTCGCGGGAGCTATGCGCGGGGCGCCAAGGCCCTCGGCTGTTCCCGAGGCCAGCCGGTCCTGGATAGTCGCTCACGCCTTGCTATTGTTCGGCCTCCGCAAGCCATGCGATCGGGGTTGTGCAGCAGGGCCCCTTCTTCTGCGCCTTGGTAGAACCATGTCTTGAACGCCATCGTCCATCCCGTCCTCGCCCCCCGAGCTCCCCGTACTTGACCTCTACCTGCCTGCCATCATCATGGCTCCGAACGGCTCGCTATCCCCCGGTGTCGATATTCTCCCGCCCAACGGAAATGCATCACGCGAGCTTGAGGCCTCAACTGTGGCGGCTAGGAGCCAGCATGCCATCGCGCCCGAGTTCTTTCCCCACGGCAAGCGCTCGCTTTGTGGCATCGCCGTGCGTGCTTTCTGCTTGGGATGCGCCATGGCTCTCGGCGTCGTCGGTACGGCTCTGCTAGCATACAACGGCAATCATTTATGGCGGCCTTTCATGTTTCTCAGCGCGCTGTCCATGTTCCACTTCCTCGAGTTTTACACGACGGCCGCGTACAACACCCCGGTCGCGTACATCTCCTCGTTCCTCCTCACCAACGGCGACCAATACCGACAAGCCCATACCATGGCTTTCATCGAGACTCTGGTGACTTCGTCTTTCTTTCCCGATTACCAATCGACAATCCACCCGCCGTGGGTCATCGCGCTGGGCATAAGCATGGTCGTGGTGGGACAAGCAGTGCGCAGCACAGCGATGATGCAGGCGGGTACCAACTTCAACCACCAAGTGCAGTCGCGTAAGAGCGATGGGCACGAATTGGTGACCCATGGACTGTACCGCTACTTCCGTCACCCCTCGTACTTCGGTTTCTTCTGGTGGGGCATCGGCACACAGGTCATGCTGGGTAACACTGTCTGCTTCTTGGGATACACAGGCGTGCTGTGGTATTTTTTCATGACACGCATTTCACGTAAGCCTTACACACCCATGGCCCCATTCAAGCTGCTCACCCATCCTAGACGAAGAAAAACATCTAATCGAGTTCTTCGGCGAAGAGTACAAGGTGTACAGGGCAAGAACTCGTGTCTGGATACCCTTCATGTAAGCGTCAACTGTGCAGCTTCCGGACAGTTTGGTCGTGCCAGCTAAGTAAAATGAATCTCATAATGCTAAGCTTCACTTCACAACCGAGTCACTTTCCGTCTGGATACATGCAACCTGTGAAGCTCTTTCGTGTTCATTTGCAAGCCAAGAGACGTGTCTGAGCATACGCAAATGAGCTTGTGTCATATTGACGGACTATCTGCATTTTCTTCACCATCTGCCGCTTGTCTCCTCGGCTCAAAGCGACTACACAATCATGCTTTAATGCCGCACTGCTGGTAGGAGCTCCCTGCTCGACAGTGATAGCCGTATGGCCAGCTTGCGTCGCTATATCGGCAATGTATCGAGGTGGAGTGCAAGTATTCTCACTTGCACAGCATTCAGCTTCGTCTTCATCACTGCCGTCTTATTGGCTGTAGGCTACCGCCAGGAACGGCAACCGCGTGTGGGCGCTCAGACTGTTTTTGTCTCCTGCTCTGTAACCCGACGTCCCCCCAACGGTTGCCCACGCCAACGCAGCACGTCTTGTCTCATGCCTGGCGAGCCCCATCCACGTCCTCGTATACGTAACAGCGAGGACAAACTCTACCGATCCTGCCTCGACGCCTGCATCGAGGGTATCGCGAATATAACGGTGAACAAGCGGATTGGTGGTACGTGCAGACTCTCTCACCTGCTCACGCGCCCTGCTCCACTAACCTTTCCCCAGCGACATCCACTCCGAACAACACAGTCAACATCAAAATCACTGCGCACGAGGGCAGTGATCTTGTAAGAAAGTCTGCTCCGGCTGCGCTCTCCCTTATATCGCCACCTGTATCGCCCGCGCGAGAGGAAGTCGTACGACACACCAGTCCACCTCCACTGTCGTCTTCAGCCATAACCATGGATCGCTCGAGGTACATGAGCGCACCGCCGGCTGCCTCGTCCGGTTGGGCATCTGGTGATGCACGCAGCAATCTCGCTGTTCAACCTGCAGCTTATGCTGGCAAGTTGAAGCTCAAGAAGAACGCCGTCAAGATCGTCGGGGCTGCGGGACCAATTCCTACGACCCCGTCGCGATTCGCACCGCCCGCCCCGTCAGTGACATCATCGCCCGCTCCAGGCTCAGTCAAGACCATGCCCCAGGCTGTTGAAGGGTTCGCATTACTACTTAATCCTTGGACTCCACTAATGTGCGTACAGACCAGCGAACGCCAGTACCTCTAGAGCGTCCAAGCCCGGTCCCCTTCACAAAGAGGGCGCAGCACTTGCTTTGACTGCTCCTACATCGAAAGTGGTTCCGTCCACCAAGGAGGTCGTGAGAGCTACAACTGATGCCATGGACGAAGAATCCGCAATGGATGCACTTTACGCTCGCCTTAACAGCAAAACCATCCTAGGGCCTCGCACACCCGTAGGTCCCACGGTAGCAAGGCCTGGCCAAACTGCATTCTCGTTTGGTGCACGTCTTGCTGAGGCCAAGGCAGATAAGATCAAGACGGATAATTCAGAGGCTGAGAAGGGAGGCATCCAGAAGTCTCCCGGTAGCAAGACCGCAGAACCGAGACAAGACAAGCTAGAGAGTGAGTACATGCGTAAGGCGACTGAGTACATCCAGGCGCTTCCGAACAGCACGGGAAACACGGCATATCTCGTCAAGGCCATGTCAAGGAAGCTCCACGACTCATACACGTCAACCACCAAGGTAGATGCTGGAAGCAACGAAGCTCTCAAGGCACGTCTAGCATTCGCAGTCGCCAACTATCTCAATAAGATATTGAAGAAGCGCCCGGAGTCACGTACAGCCGACTCGATCAAACAAACGCTTGGGGATATGGATGGAGATTTTCTCCGGCTGTGTGCCAAGCTCGTGGACGAGGGGTACGTCTCCTTGGAGACACTGACTGAAGTATCTGGTATCGTCGCCGCCATGCGTGATGTTCTGCCCAAGCCAGAGCAACCTACCACCACGTCGGTGGAAGCGCCTTTGACGCCAGCACGTTCTGTTGCGATGGGCTCTGAGAACAGCAAGCCCATGTCCAAGGACCCAGTGGATAGCATGAAGGGATGGCCGACCCAGGAGAAGCGCGAGAATCGTAAGTCCTTTTCCGTGCAGACAGAAATTTAGACTGACAAGACATAGCCGCTGCACATCGTACGTGCATCTTGAAGGGTGTTGGGGGGATTACCAGTATCAACCAGTTGCAGGCTCTTGTATGGGGTGGCAAGCTTGAGTCCATTTCCATGCCAGAGCCGGGCTCCTCGAACGCTCTTGTCAAGTTTCTTACACCCGAGGCATGCGACAAGTATCACAAGGACACTGCAAACGGAATCGAGATAGTGGGCGAGATGAAGAAAGCAGTTGTCTTCGTGGAGAAGGCTGAGGGACCAAACTCTATCAACGATGTCATCCGCAACTGCATCGATGGCGAAGCGTCACGCTGCGTGCGAGCTATCGGCACTAACGAGCACAACGAAGCGGCTCTTATGAAGCTCGCTCGGGGCAAGAGCGTTAGCAAGCGCGACGTTGATCGTATCAAGAGCGGAAAGACCGCCCGTGGTGTAAGTAACATGTGCGGACCCATGTCTGTATAACACTGACACGGTCACTCTAGCATTCGTACGTCGAGTTCCGCTTTGCAAACATCTACAACGCTCTCAACTTCAAGCGCGAACTCGTGGATAGTGAGGACTGGGAACATTGCACCATTGGCTATGCACCCGACCCGTGTGAAGCAGCCAAGGGTGTTCACTACAAGGATGCGGATGAGAAATAGAGCTGCATTGGTATACTCGACCAGACCATGTGCATCATGCTAGGCGGGGAGCACGGGCTGGAAGAGGTGGGCGAAACCCATTGTGTCTGCATACGAAGACTTTTGATGGGAGTGAATGCTCGAGTGCGGGAAAACAAAACGTGGGGTGAGTCGGGACATGTACCAAGTGCGATCGTGACGGCTTGAAGTCACTGAAAGCTGAGATTGGTGTTCGCACTACTTCATCTTGCACGTGCAATAATTAGTCAAGGTGATAGCACAAGTGGAAATCCTAGGTGTACTTTGCTTTGCTCATGTACGTGCTATTGTGACACGAGTGCAACACCGCTCGTGCAAGAAGGAAAGATCAAACAACTTGCCAAAAGTCATGGGAGCATACTTGAAAGACTCAAGCCCCGCTTCACAATCACAGCACCAGGCAGTGGATAAGTACACTAACACACAAAAGAAGAATTACAATACCCCCCCTACCTAGAACTCTGAGAAGCCCAAACGCCTCGCTGCCCTCCCATGGTGTTTCTGGTTACTGTCATCTGTTCTCGCTTGCCGTCAAAAGGGGCTGCCCGGCTTCGCAGTCTTAGCGGTTGACGGCTGTGAAAGCTGCATCTGTCATGTCGGTATCACCGTTGTGCGGTGGAGGGGGCGCAGCGTCGGTCGCGGGCAGGCGCTGCTCATCGTAAGCCGGGTCGAAGTAGGCGCGCTGAGGGGGTGGCTGCTGTTGCGGCTGCTGTGCGTGCAGCGGCGGGAGCGCGTGCAGGGGAGGAAGTGTAGGAGGTGCGCCGTTGACAGCGGTGTGTGGACTGGTCGTCGTGGCAGCGCCAATGGCACCGAAGTAGCTGTTCTGGGGCCGTCCCGACGGGTCTGGTGTACTCTGCGCACTGCTCATAGGGTTGATGGCATGCGGCAGGGAGCCCAGTCCCAGTCGGCCCTCGGCGCTGCCACCAAGAGGAGGCGTGCCCTTCCTGTTGTGGCTCCTTTTGCTCCTCAAGGGCTTATCGGTTGGGGTGGGCGGTGGGCTGCTGCTGCGATCGCTGTCGTCGACATTGTACTCCATGTGCTTGTTCAGCTGCTCGAGCAGGAATGCGCGCTCGAGGCGCATCTTCTGGATGCCGCGGTTCAGGCGTGTGATGCGCAGGCGCGTGCCGTCGTTGTTCTCTTCAATGTCGGTTATGCGGCGGCGGAGGTCGATGCATTTGCGGTAGTAGGCGCCTTCGACCGAAGGAGGGAGGTCTTTGGACGAGACGGCGCGGGTCGCTGGTAGCTTGTTAGTGCACTGCGTCGTGGCCGCCTACGTGTGGTTTGCGACGCGCTTGAGCGCGACGGGAGTGCCTACGGGCTGGTGGCATCTTCGCGCCTTGTCGTGTTGTTGGGACGTAGACGATAGTACGTGCTGTGCGCCTGGAGATGATGCCGTATTGCAGTGTGTTTGGGTTCAGTGTGTTTGGATTTAGTGCGGTGATGTGGGTTTGCTGGTCACAGTCGGCGTTGCTGGTAGCTATGGTCTTGAGCTTGGTCTGTGGGGCCCGGGCTGGTTCCGAATAGTCTCATCTTGTGACATTCTTGGCGCGCTGTACAATTTGAACACTCATTTGACGAATTCCACTTCGGTCCTGCCGTCAACCTTATGTATGATAGACTACGTTGCTGTCCCTCTGCTCTAGGGTATACTTCCTGCAAGGTCCCTCGTGTTGCACCTTTGTGGTTATACGAGGTTACACGTGCAACGTAGAATATCTGAGTTGCCTCATGTAAAGAGCGCGCAGGCAGAAGACCCAAAGATCTGGCTGTGACAAAAGGCGTACATCAGCTAGTATAATGCCTGGGGAAAAAAGACCGCAAAGTCATTTTATCATCCTTGAGAACATGTACGAGTGATCAGACATGGACAAAATGTGAGGCGGATACCATGACGAAAGTTGGGTTATGTATTGTACAGAATGCTGTTAATTTTGGGTTCTCTTCTATATTTTCATGATTTATAGAAGAGTGCACCAAACAGTGAGCGATAAGTAACGGAGAAGGAGTCTCATTCACAGCTAATCTACAGCGTGACACTCGAGTAGCAAAGGTACAGTGACTGGGCAATATGGAAAATTGAAGAACGAGGAGCATGCGATGCTAGATGGAAGGGCAGACGGGTGAAATGCTTGCACTAGTACTAAAGTATCTGAACGTCCAATTATTCCATATATACGATAACAGTATGGTTACATGGGAATCCTTCAATACTGCAGGTCAACTGCACTGTTGCTGCTGCCGCGCCTGGCCGAATGGAAAGCTCTTCGATAGACATCCGTGGCTGTGCAGACATCGTTTCGCTTCAGGCTCGCACGAAATGCCAGTGGGGCTTGCCTACGGGTATTTTGCCTGCTACCTCATATGCTTTTGTTGATACAAATGACCTAGAATGCTTCCCTCTGTCAGTCCCCTGCCGCTTTTTGTATAGTCGCAACCATGTCGCGTCGGCGTTGCTGTGACCAAGCGCTCCGCGTACGTCGTCTCTCGCTAGCACAGGGTCTAGCATGTCCAGCATTTCTTCGAAGCGCTCATCCCGCATCGTTACGTTTTTCGCAATGGCGCATAGCAAGGCGGTCAGACTGTTCCAGATCATCCGTGTAGGCGTATCAACGTACAGCTCCATTGGTGAAGAGTCGGCCGTAGGCTGCGAGTCCACGGCGAGCCTCGTCAGACCAGTCCCGATAGCCTTGATCTCTAGCGACATCGGTTGGAAGCTGCCTTTCCTGTTGCAGTCGTCGTTCTGTCTAGTGCGTTCGTAGACCTTCCTGGTAATGTTCCATGCGTCATCGATCCTAGTTCGCATGAAATCTTTTCCGTGTTCACACATCAATGCTACAATATCGAGCGCATTTGATACCACGTATGCTTCCGAATCTTGTAGACGAGGTAGTAATACAGGCCAGAGCGTATTAATGAGGGGCAGGAGGGAGTTCTCGTGTGCTGCAATAGCAGGTATAGTGGTACGAAGGAGGGACAGAAGCGAGTTCCGGAGGTTAGGCGACATGGTGGTGAGATAGTGCTGTGTCAACTCGGAGATTTTGAGGAGAATAGCAAAGGCACGTGGGGCGGGAGGGGAAGACTCCTCGGTGTGCGGGGGAGGCGGGCGACCGTTCTCCTCGTCCGTGCTATTGGAGTCGGTATCTTCTGAAGTCTTACCGACTTTCCAGGGCTTTCGTGGGAGTGCCTCCCTTGACGCTTGCTTCTCTTCCTCTTCCCGCTCTTGTGTCTCTACCTCGAACTTTTGAATTGCTTCGATGACATCGTTCATGACGACCGTTCTCTTCAGATGCACATGTTCCTCTTTCTTATTGTCGGCTGACACGGCAAGTTGTGGTGCTTTGACACCTTGTTCCGTCATGCCTTTCAAGACGTTGAAAAGCAGCTCCACAAGCTTAGGATAGCCATGATATCTCTCCAAGGCGTTGAAAATACTATCCACCAAGTCATCTAGGTAAGGTAGGAGAGGTGGGCCACAAAGCCTTATCATCATGAGTAGGACTTGTGGTGCTTGAGGCGACACATCGCCATATGCCAACTTTAGGCCAATTGCGTTGACAATGTAATCGACATTACTGACAACAAGCTCCCCTGCGTCCTTGTATCCCGAGGCCCCTGCTACGATATTGAGACAAATCAGGGCGTGCTCGCGTAGTGCGCTGTTGGAACTGCCAAGGTAATGCAGCACCGGATAAAGTACTTCACTCAACTCAGGGCGAAACTCGGTCTTGTACCGCTTCGCCTGCAAAGCTACCGTCTCGAGCGCTAATGCATATAAATGCCAATGGCTGTTGGTGTCCACAGTTCGCTGGTTCAGCAATGACAGAGAATGCGAGTACAAGTCATCCAAGACTTCCTCCCTCGGGTTTGGCGTTCCCAGATTCATGAAATCATCGACAGATGGATTGACTGATGCCATGTCTCTTACTAGATTGACTGAGAGCCAGAAGCTCGCCAAGCGCATCTCGGGCGCCCCAAGATCGACGGAATTGGTCAGGCCCTGAGCAACAGCCAACGCAGAGTTGGATCGTGCAAGTTCTTGAACTAATACTTTAAACCCCTTCATCATGTCTTCCTGGCCTTTGAATTGCATGCTGATTAGTGGGAACGAAGACGACTCTGTCGAGCTAAATACCAGCGTACGACCAGCGACGAGACTGGCGTTGCGGTCGTTTATTTCTTCGAGCCCCCTGCCATGGATAAACACTGCAGACACGCCATCCCGAAGACTATCGGCCAGACGCTCATCTAGAATCATTGGATCTTCATCGAACAGGCGAAGTGAGACTGATATCTGATGTACGATTTTATGGCGGGTACGGTCGTGTTTTGATCG